AGAAGCAGTGTGTTGGATAGTTGAGCACCAAGAACGCTTGGGATGGGTCAGTGCTGCACTAACCTGGTTTCTTGGGAGGCTCATTCTCCATTGGTTCAGGTGATTCCTGCTGTTTTAGTTCCTGTATCATACAAGTCAAATCATGGATTATTTTCCCCCAGGGATAAATCTCCTTGAGGTACACACCAGATTTCCACTTCCTTCTGCACTACCCACCAAGTGTACCTGGGTCCTTGAGCAAAGACAATCCCACAAATGGGCTTTCCTTTTCCCAAGGGAGAGCAACCCACGCTGCCTTTCCCAGACACTTATATGTACTACAAGGACCTCATCTCCTCCCACAGTATGCAGGGGCTTTGTTTGGGCAGAACCAGGGCCCTTAGTAGATCATCTGGTGTTAACCAGCCAAGTGGTTTCTGCTAAATTTACATCCCACTGCTTCCATTCCCCAGTGCCCTGTGCTCTCAGCATAGTCTTTAACAGTCCATTGTATCATTCAGTCTTTCCAGAGGCTTGTGGGTGATAGGGTACGATGCACCAAATCAATGCCATGTTTCTTGGCCCAGGAGTGTATGAGGTTATTTCAGAAATGAGTTGCGCTGTCTGACTTGATTCTTTCTGGGGTACCATGACATGGAACTTGATTTTCAAGGCTCAGGATGGCATTTCAAGCAATGGCGTGGTTTACAGGGTATGTCTCCAGTCACCCAGTAGACACTTCCACCATGCTAAACACATAGCACTTGTGTTGGCAGGCGCAGAGCAGTGGTCCAGTATAGCCAATTGGCCAGACCTCACTATATTGACAGCCCAGCCACCTCCCTCCCTCTGTTCCAGGGAGACTTTACTCACATGGGTCACTTGATTGCAGTGCATGTTTCACACATGTGTGATGGCCTCAACAGTCAGGGCCACCCTTCAATCATGAGCACAGTTTTAAATTGTATCTCTCCCAGTTACTGTCCTTATCTTGAATTCTTCAAGCTTTGTCATCCTATTTTCTCCCCCTTTCCTGTAGAGGAAGGGAGTGAAAGCAGCTCAGTGGGCGTTTGGCTGCTGGCCAAGGTTAACCCATCACAATCCTTTTTTTGGCATCCAACGTGCAGTGTACAGATTTGAACCGGTAACCTCTTGATCTGCAGTCAGATGCTGCTGGCCCAGGGCAATCTACCACAATCCAAACCTACTCTAAGACATTTTTTTATAGCTGGAGAAGGTTCTTGCCCAGAGCAAAGATCAGGCTTGCCTCGGATGACCAGTTTGACTGAGTTTTTAATTATCAGCAGAACAAAATTCAAAGCTGCTGAGAAATGCACATGATTAGCACTTCTGCAGGCAAGGACAAGGCAGCTTATCAAGGTGTTGAACATATTCAGTGAAACTTGGTTAAATAAATCATCTTTTAAATCAACCTTTGCCCAATCAAAGTCCAGCCTTACTTATAGGTACAGCCACAGGAGAGACAGCAAAAGAGAATTCCAGTGAAGGCTGCTCCACACAGACATACAGGTAAGAAATTCCTTTTTTGCTAATCCTTCTTCCCTTAGAAAACTCCTTTTCACGATTCCAATAATTTTGCTGGTAAAGCTTTCGTGGATCAAAAGGAGTAGTATCCAGTGCACTGTAACCTTTCTAAATATGAAGAAATAATCTTTCCCATAAAAGCCTACTGTTTCTTCAGCTTTCTGTACCACTGGTTTTGCATGTCAACTCTAGGAATTAGCAGAGTTTCCCAGTGTTTGTCAAGAAAAACTGCTTTGAGTTGTAGTTGCCATCAGTACAGCCTGATGTGTTCCAAATAATGTCCAAATAATAGGGCAGTTCATCCCCATATGGAGTTAGTCCCAGTGCAACTACACAGAGACTCAAAAAAGCACAAGGCACCTCACCAAGGGGAACAAGCGAATCATGATCTGCAGGCTTCCTATCCCTGCATGCTGAAATTCCCCGTATTCTCCAGCCTCAGTGACATCTGTGTCAACCGCCCAACCACACATCCATACTATTCTATATGCTGCCCAACCGACCTCAACAATACAGCTTCAACAGTGAACAGTTTGTAGCATGGGTAGCCACAGAGGTGGTTCTGCAATAGGCTGCTATCATGGAAGGATCTGACTGCTAGCTACTTCTAAAAAAAGGAAAAGAAAGGCCAGTTCCCACATACATTAGTCACACAGTTGATATAAAGAGAATAAAAACCACAGAGTTGCAAAGAAATCTTTACATACAAACAGATTAATTTTCTTAGAGTTTATTAGGTTATGATTAATGGCTAAACTCTGCAACACAACTTTGGCCTTTTGACTGATTTCTGTCAGTAGAAAGGCAGAAAAAAATCTTTCCAGTAAAATACAAATCAAGTTTGCTAATTACCTGGACTTTCCAACTGGAGGAAGTTCTCTTCATTAATCTTGTTCCTCTATCATCATGGATCTTTGGCAGGAGTTCCTAAGACAACTATCTTGGGAGTTGTTCCCTGGTCACAACTGTTGCATACTTTCAGTACGTAGTATTCCTGCTAATGATGTGCATCACCCAAACCAGAGTTTCATTACATCATAAAAGCATAGAAGACTTTAGGTTGAAAGGGACTTCTGGAGGTCATCTGGTTCAATACCCCATACAAAACAGATTTTATTTCACTTTTCTGTGTTGAACTTCATGAGGTTCCTGTCAGCCCATTTCTCCAGCCTGTTGAGGTCCCTCTAAATAGCAACACTAACCTCCAGCCTATTGACAGCTCCCCTTCAATTTGGTATCATCTATCAGTTTGTTCAGGATTTATTCTGTCTCACTGTCCATATCATAAAGATGTTAGACAATATCAGCCCCAGTACCAACTCCAAAGAATGCCACTAATAACCAGCCAACAGCTGGATTATATACCACTGCTCAAATCCCTCTGAACCTAGCGGCCCAGCCAATTTTCTTCATCATCTAGTAGTCTGCTTAACCAGTACATTGGTCACCAAATTGGCTACGCCGATTGTACTAGAAACTGTAGCAAAATCATTGCAGAAGTTAAGGTGAACTGCATCCACTGCTCTCTGCCCGTCACAGAGCCAGTCCACTCATCACGTGAAGCTATCAGGTTCATCGAGTACCATAAAAATCAGTAAATCCATACCATCTGATCCCAAACACCTTCCTGTCCTTGGCATATTGTGCCTTGACACAGCTTCTAGGAGGATTTGCTCCAAAACCTCCTGAGGACAACAGTCACTGCCCAAAAGCAATTTGGTAGCAATCCCCAGCATCAAGCATACTCTTTAACCAGCTGGCCTCAAATTCTCTGGGGAAGCAACACAGCACCCCACAGACACTGACTGGAAATTCTGCTCCAGTTGCCACAAATTTGTTGAGCAATCATTTGAATCAAACTACTGCGGTTACTTCAGCAGCCTGTCATTTCTAAACCAAATTTCTTTTCTTTCCTTTCTCACACAATGTCACATTTTTGTATTGATTACATCTCATGTCATTGTTAAAGTCGTCAGGGTTGGAGACAAAGTTTTAGTCAGGTAGCAAATTGAGGCTTTATGGTCATTTCAGGATTCATGTGAGAACTGCAAGATAAGCATAGTCTCAACTCCTCTGTTTTGTTCCACACAGACCAGGCAGTATTAAATGACCTCTCCTGCAAGTGATTACCTGATGGCACATTCACGTTGTCAGTAGGTGTATGCCTGAATATTCTACACTTGTTAGACCTCATAATACCTGCATTCATATCTTACCCCGGTCTCACATATAATGATATACCAAAGTGAAATAGCTCTATTAGCTCCTCTTCATAACAGAATCAAAGAGTGTTTAATTAGGATTCAGAGGCAGAGGAAAACATGGACAGCTCCAAGAACTTTGACTCCACCAGTAACTTCTAAAGGACACAGAAATAAAGCAAGTGCACCATTTTGTCTGAAAACAGAGACAGAGATATCGAACCCACCTAGAAGAAAAAAAGCTTTGTAAGTGGAGACAAGAGTCTTTCTAGTTCCTTTATAGTCCTTGCTTTCCACCTTCCAACACAAACCCTGCGCTCATTAACAATAACACTCTAGCTACAATGTCTTCTCCTGAAACTTAATTTCATTTAGCTAAAAACTAAGAACAGCAAATCCTAGTTAGGACAATGAGGTCTTTCACTGATCCCACCTGCTCATCCAACTGCACAGGTTGCCCAGAGAGGTTGTAGAGTCTCCATCCTTGGAGATATTCAAAAGGCTGAGAGAGATGGGACTGTTCAGCCTGGACAAGCAAAGGCTCAGGGGAAACTTATCAATGTATAAAAATATCTGAAAGGAAGGTGCAAAGAAGACGGAGCCAGGCTCTTTCCAGTGGTTCCCAGTGACAGGAGAAGAGGCAATGGGCACAAACCGAAACACAGGAAGCTCCATCTGAATGTAAGGACACTTTTTCTTTTACTATGAGAGTGACTGAGCACCAGCATAGGTTGCCTAGAGAGGTAACGGAGCCTCCCTCCTTGGAGATACTCAAAAGCTGTCTGGACTTGCCCCTGTAGAATTGGATCTACATGGCCCTACTTGAGCTGGGAGGTTGGATCACATGACCTCCAGAGGTGCCTTCCAACCTTGACCATTCTGTGATTCTGTGAAATCCCATTTTGTCACATAACTTTACTATAGTGTTCCAGTATTTTTGTGCTGCCATTATTTCTTCTCTGTAAGAGTTAATTCTGGTATTAAATCCTCACCTCAATTTTCACTGTTACCACAGGCAGACAACTTCTTTCTTCCAGTTCTTGCTTAACTTCATTTGTGACAGGGAGACAAGAAAAGTGAGGAGGGAAGGAAAAGGGATTGGTTTCTTCTCCCTAGTCTTGTTAACCAGCTTGAACTTTGCACAGCTGGATTTCCTAGGAAACAAAACCCCAGTAATTCTGAAGCAAACTGTCTCAATACATACTTAGAAGGAATGTATGTAGGTAAGCTTACCGTTTTTATTCACACATATCTTTTCTATCCTGTCTGGTAAAGATGACTTCTGTTCTCCAGCCCCGAGAATGTAAAGTGATCAAAAAGCCCCAAAAGAGCTACGGATTCTACCTACGTATTGAGAAAGACACAGCAGGGCATCTCATCCGGAACGTGGAAAAGAATAGTCCAGCTGAAAAGGCTGGCTTGAAGGATGGAGACAGAGTCCTCAGGGTTAACGGTGTGTTTGTAGACAAGGAAGAACATGCAAAGGTACATCTCTGTTTACTTTGAGATCCACACCACTCACCCATTTTCCAGACACACTGCCACTACGTGAAGTTTTCCCTTTCAGTTTTTACGGCATCTTCAGCTAGGAAATCCAAGAGCTGAGTCAACTGCTCAGAGTATCTCCCTGCATCATTCACTACCCACCATGGGCATGAAATGTCTTTGACTTGCCTCCATAGTGCATAAGCAGAGGGATGAGACAACAAAAACAGTAGACAGTACAACCCTTCCCGGGGAGAAGCTTTTATGTCAATCATTCTAGCACCTGCTTGCCATTTCACCTTGTCCACTACAGGTGGTGGAGATTGTCAAAAACAGTGGGAATTCTGTTGTACTACTTCTTCTGGATGACGCATCCTATCAAAAGGCAGAAAAGGAGGGAGTGAACTTGGAAGAGCTGGGTCAAAAGGTGTCAACAGGACAACAGCAGGAGCAGCAGCCCCCACCGCCCACGGCCAATGGAGCAACCACTGAAGTTCCACGACCCTGGCTCTGCTACCTAGTGAAGGAGGAGAAAGGCTATGGCTTCTCTCTTAAAACCACAGAAGGTAAGATCCTGGGGAGAAGAGACGGTATATAAAAATATGTGTGTATATATATACATATATGGCAGCAGAGACAGAAAAGATTTAAAAAAAATAGATAAAAAGAATAAGCTCTTTTCTGCTTGCTATTTAAGCCCACTTACCAAAACCAAATTTGCAGTTCCTGCTCAAATACCAGATATGCACTCAAGATGCTACATTAAGTCCTGTTCCATTCCTCCAAATCACCTCAGGAATCAGCACACAACGTTCTATACAGCTGTAATAAACACTTGTCCTGATTTGTAAGTTATTTCATTTAGAAAGCAAGAGATTTTGAACCTCTTCCACATATGCCTTTCTTCCAAGGCCAGTCAACAGAATAGTAAAGTCTTCTGGAAAGCATCACCTTTAAAGGGGGTATTTTGGAATGCAATATAACTGAAAGACCAAACATGGAAGCCTTCCAAACACAGGAAATTACGAAATGTATAAAACAACAATAAAAGCACCTCCTCACTTCAAACTGGGGAGCGAGGGGAAAGGAAGGAAGGAATCAAATCCCTTTCAGCTATCTTAATCAGCCCCCTTGGCACTCTTGGTAGAGAAATAAAAGATTGTTTGAGCTGCAGAGAGTGAACAAATGCCTCCCTTCCCCATAGAAGTGATTTTTTCAGGACAGTATAAGAGCTAGAGGTGTGCCTATGTGGAAGGTTTGCGGTGCCACTGTAATCTGCACATAAGCAGAGACCAAGAGTCTCAAGACATCAGTGGTGAGTTTCCTTAACCATTCAATTCAGACATATTGCAGCCTGTGTAATGAGTTTTCATTTATTTTAGGACAGAAGGGGTTGTTCATAGTAGAGCTTTCATCACAAGGAGCAGCTGCAAAGGCTGGTGTCCAAAATAATGATCGCCTGATTGAAATCAATGGAAAAAATGTGGAAAATGACACACACGAGGAAGTGGTGGAAAAGGTATTTGTTTGTATACTGATTCATCTTCTGTTCTGGCCCACTTTCACAGCAACCTATCAGGGTTACTGAGGAGGCAGGTCTGGCTGATTTCAATGCTTCACAGTAAATCTTGGAAGCTACTGCTCGTGTATCATCAACACGACAGAGTACCCCTCTGCTCTGGCTCTGTTGTCAAGCAGCCTCTTGAACTGACTCTGAATGAATACTGCCATCAGGACAGGCCAAAGAATTTTAAATAACAGAAGTATACTGCTGCCAGGAACCCTATTAAATAAATCATGCTGTGTTCCTAGAAGTCCTGGAAATGCTCCTAATGGTAGGAGGGCAAGTCATCAAATGTGGTTTTCAGGGCAGGAAGAGAGGAAACTCTCTGATGATACGGTTAGCATGGAACAGGGAAAATTCATGATTTTAGATAGTAGTTCTTTTCTCCTGTTAAGAAGACCAAAACTAATGAAAATTACTGTGCAAGCAATTTCACTGCCTGGCCTCAGCTGCAAATAACATTGCTAATGAGGCTTCCAGCTTTCCACTATTGGCACTGCTAAAATGCAGCTGGAGCTGAAGAGATTTCAGAGAGCCATGAGACAGGCAGCACAGGCTCTGGCATTCCAGCATCACAATTCGGTGCACACTACTAACTATGGAACCATGCAACACCTGTATTTTGTCGGGCTGCTACAACATCAGCAGCAGAGTGACACTGATTAAGACAAGTAAAGAGGGCATCCATTACACTAGAAAGGAATAAAAGGATGGACTTGGACAGGTTGAACAGACAAAAAGAAACACAACAAAAAACACACCATCAAAATCTCAGAATCAGCAATACAGGGAGATGAAAGAGGACCAACCGTGACAGAAACTTGGCTCTTGTCACTGTCATCTAAAATAGTGGTATAGATGGCATGATATGTCAATATTGTAGAGTTCCACATCTAGATAAGCCAAGCTCTATCTACTGAGGCTCACTGGATTCTACTGGTGCTGTATGCCACCCTCATGGCACTCTGTAGCTAATTCCTGAGAGGTCAGGAACACAGTACGAAATACAGATTTCCTCATATATATGCTGGATTTTACATGTATGAGATCTTGTCATGATCCAAATTTCTAACGGGGTGGTGGGGGGAAGTCAACTTATAGTAGCATGGCCTACACCTGATGGTTCATTCAACACCCCCCCCACCACACACTATGTATCACTACACCACTTACTAAAGTACCTTTAATTCGTACGTGTTGTTGAAAGGGTGACATCTGAGACTGTACATGTACTATCACAGGTAAAGAAGTCTGAAAATCGTGTTATGTTTCTACTTTCAAATGAAGAAACGGATCGCTATTACACAAGCCAGAAGATGGTACTGAGCAAAGAGAGTGCCAACCTAGGACTGCTTCCCCTCAAACCACGACTTATTGAGATCCAGAAAGGGAAAGACGGTTATGGCTTTTATCTACGGATGGAACAAAATACTGGTGGTAAGAATCAAGCTAACACACAGACTGTGACATTTGCTATAGTTTCTTCCTGTACAAGGCTTGCAGACCTCATTCTCTTTGGCTTCTTACTGGTCATCTAAGAGAAGTTCTCTATAGAGATGTGTTGCAAACAGGGCTACATCAGGGAAACAGTCTCAACCTGATGTGCAATTCTAACAATTAGCCTTTGCCATGCATTTAATGTCTTTAAACTTACCAAGCATACGCCTTCACATCAATCATTTTTCCCTTCTGATCTTAGATCATGTAATCAAGGATGTTGATTCCGGGAGCCCAGCAGCAGAGGCAGGTCTCAAAGACAACGATATCTTAGTAGCTGTCAATGGTGAGCAAGTGGATGGTCTGGATCATGAAAGTGTAGTGGGAAAAATTAAGCAGTCTGAGGCAAAAACCACACTGTTGGTAGTGGATAAGGAGACTGAAGCCATGTATAAACTGGTAAGGAAATGCAAACTACTGCTAAGAATTGATAATTTATCATTATGAAGAGACATATGCAGCAATGAAACAGCCAGTCTGCTCTGACAGACACTTCAACTTGCAGGAAATTACTAAGATACATCCATATTTCAGCAACTCTCCTTGCACTTGTGCAGTAAGTCACTAAACACCAAAATTTCTGGCCTCTTCCAGATTTTTCTAGGTATTATTGGAACAATTCTAAATTTAAACACACCACAAAAAATGTTAGAAGTTTAAGACGGCAAATTCAGAGCTACATGGCTGTATAACCATTTACGAACAAAACGAGTAACAAAATTTCCTTCTCGCACAGATCAACACGGTAGTTTTCTGCTCAGCCAGAAATTAATAGCAAAGAGTTCACTGCAGCTCAAGTCTGAGTCATTGAAAAGGTTTCATACAAAACATGTTGAGCATGAAAGCCTAATACAGATTTCATAACAGAAGTTTTTATGTTAACAAAGTTTTATTTGTCACTTTTTTTCAGGCTCAAATTTCCCCCTTCTCATACTACTACAAAGCACAAGATCCAACTCCAGCTAAAACGGAGGAAAGATTGCACACTGAGCAGAAAGTGAACCACAAGCCAAGAATCTGCAAGATGGTGAAAGGGCCTAGTGGATTTGGCTTCAGTTTAAACATGATCAAGAACAAGCCTGGACTGTTCATCAGTGAGGTACTAACATAGAATGAGGAACAAGGAAAAGCTCAAGTAGTCTTCTGGACAGCTTCCTCCCTTCTGTCCTGAAAATACATTCAAGAAAAGCCACAAAAGACAAGTCTCTTCTACAGAACTCTCAGATAAGAGCTGCAATTGTTAAAAGTCAGACTGACATTGTAGGAGCAAGATAAAAAATAAGTACCAGAAAGCATTCCTCATTCTGTTAGATGTCTAGAGGGAAGGGGAATCCAGCTTTTGCATCCTTTTTGCTTTTATTCATGAGGCTGGCATGCTAAACTTATTATTTTAAACATATTTTTTTGACTGTAGAACACCCTAAATGTAAGAGAGACACCTTCACTCCACTCCACCCCCTTCTCTGAATTCCACAGCTGGCAAAAGTCAAACATCTACTGTCTCAAATTATGTCTGTGCCTTTAGCTTTCTTGAGAGGAGGGGCTCCACTCATTACTAAGGAATCTGTGAAACGTTGTAAAGTTGACTTTAAAGTTACTGGACAGGGACCCGCAAATAATAAGAAAATTGGTTTTCCACCTGTCTTCATGATTCTACCATGCCACATTTCTATAATGAAAGTCTATCAAAATCAAGATACATCTTAAATCTCAAACTGACGGGTTCCATGTTTATTATCTCTAGGCCTATTGCCTCTCCCAATTCATTTCTGCCCCACAAATCTCCCCTTCCCCATGCTTATTTCGCTATCTTGTAAGGAAAGCAGTAACACAACAGTCTAGCTAATCATCAGTTGTTAATGTATCTTTCCAAGTTTTATGCTAATATCACAGTCTGAACTTGCCTTTGCAGGTACAAAACCATGGGCCAGCGGACACAGCAGGTGTACAAAATAATGACTTTTTGGTGGAAGTGAATGGGGTGAATGTGATCAATGAATCCTATGACAAAGTGGTGGCAAGAATCCAGGACACTGGTGACAGACTAACACTACTGGTATGCAGCAAAGATGCCTACAAATACTTCCAGGGCCAGAACATTCCCACCACAGCTCCTATGGTAGATCCAGTCCACGACAGTTCTGAACCTCCTGCTTATACAGAAAACCATCCGTCAGAGCCAGAGAGAAACTCACCTGAACCAAGAGAAAGGGTGAGTAATACTGCATTAAGTGGATGTTGAGGGATCATCTAGGGGGATAGGAAAAGGACTTTTTCCAGCTAGTATGTATTCTTGAGCTAGGATTTTTAACTTGAATTTGGATTTTTACAAGTCAGTCTATGTTATTTATATCATAAACAACTCTTCCTTTCACCACACCTAATATAGTCGAGTATCTTTAATGCAAGATTAAATCACAGAAAGGATGCACATACAAGAGATTTCATGGAACAAGATAATCCAAATACGGTAATCCTTAATGAAGATGGAAAACGGGCAAAACAATCCTGAAAGTACGGGGGAAAAAGTGCTGAAATACATCAAAAAGCATGAACCACTTCTGGGCAAATCAGGTGAAATATTTCAAAACAGATCATTTTGCAGAAGGAAGAGCAACTGATAGGTTATGATGACATTTTCTAGGAAATGTGCTGTTGAAATTATTTTACTCACTTCATGCCATTAGAAAGAATCCAAAGCATGACAGAAGTCAGAGAAGCAGGAAGGTATTTCTTCTTGAAACAGTCATTTTGAACCCTCTGTGTGGTCTGCCTTAAATATTCTTTTCTGATCATGCAAGAGAGACAGTCAAGGAAGAATAAGACCAATACTGTCTCCTATTCATTTTTCATTAGCCTTGTCTGAAAATGTCCAGCTGCAAGTTTTTTCACAAGTTTCTTAGTCACCAGGCTGCATTTTGCAGATCTGAAGTTAGCACTGCTTTTATGTGTTAATTCAGCAGGTATGGGAATTAAACAATAGGAAACCTCTATTGAACAAATTCTTCTCTAAATATACTTAACCAAAAAGCACTTCAACAACAAAAATTGCATTTGTTGGCTCATTCTGCCATCCAAACAAATACATGATTAGTGCAGATGAAAATAGGAGTCCTTCATAACACTGCAGACTATCAAGCATGTTTCCAAACTAAAAATAATCAGAACGTATTTGTTACTCCTCTGCAGGCAAGCTCATCCTCCTCTTCACAATCAGCTGCCTCTACCAGAGCAGACAGTGACAACAATGACAACACGAAGTTGTGAGGAGACAAACTGTGCCAAGAATAAAAAATGAAACCTTCGAAATCCTCTTTCTTCAATCATTCTCTACTACTACACCTCCCAGAACTTGACTATTCCTAGGAGTGCTATACCTGTAAAGGACTGCAATCTCTCGCTGAAATGCAGCTGCCTGAAATAAACACTTCAGTGTAACTTGCATTCATTTAACACACTGCCATTGTATTTCATTGGCTTTCTGCCTTGTAAAGTGGACAGTTAGTCACTTATTTCTGTAAAGGCTTAAATAACTAGAAGTCTATAATTAAGTAGACTGCAGCAGAAGGTGGAAATGTTTTACAGATTTGTAAGCATCTTAGCCTTTTAAGGATAAGCTCTGATGAAGAACAACTGATTTGTCCCCATCTCCCAGGAGAGGCAGTTCTCCCCCTAATCCAAGTCTGTCAACTCAATCTCTGTGGCGACTCTTCTATGCTATACTTAAAGCAGTACAACTGCTGTGAAATGGTGAAAGCCAATGTACTCTGTGTGTTACGCTCCTTTCTCCTGCTAGCATTGCAGAAATTTCTTTCAAACATTAAGCTAACTTCGTAACTCAAAACATTTAAACACTATCCTCTCTCCTCTGCATACAGTGGTGGATCATGACAGAATAGCGTACGTAATTCAGTCATGCAGGTTCATCTAACTCCAAGTCAACACCACATTGTCTTGAATGTGACATAAATAGCTCTGTAATACTGCTGCTGTATACTTTGCCTCCTTGCTGTACACTAAAGACAACACAGAAATAAATTCTTTAGAGTGGCTATCTCCTCCCACCCAGGTCTTACTCTCACCACCTATCATTTATGTTCCAGAACAATTTTAAAACAAACAAAGCCTAGGAGAGCGGCCATGGGAAGCTACAAGTTTAAGTCACATGAATAAAATTTACTTTTATGCCTTGAATTACATCAAGAAGGGGAAATGGTCTACTGTATAAGAATACACAGGTTGTGGGGAACACCAAGTTTACAGCATATAAGGTAAACAAATTTGCAACATATAAGGTAAAGAAGACATAGGTGTGGTCTTTGACTTCACACTGAACTCTTGCAAAGAGGAATCCAAAACCTCAGTTCCATTTATGCAGGGAGAGAAAACAAAGTTGAGACTCAGCAACAGAAAGCTGATCTCCAGCTCCTAAGGACAGCAGGTACCAGTGATACACACTAGCACACACTCCATACAGAAACGGAGTGAAATTCTCTCCACTTCACTTCTGCCATGCAGCAAATCCTAGCCCCTCTCTAGCTCACTACCAGCCAAATCTTTGGGGCTGACAAAAAACAACTGTGATGCTTGCATGAGATATTACAAAAGCTTATTTAATCCCACAGATTCAAACACTGAACTCCAGAATTGGCATCCTCTGAATCCAAATTATGAGTTGATTTTCAAAAAAAAAAAATCGCATTTCCTTGGTGCCTTTGACGAAGATGTTCTTCTAACAGCAAGAGGTCTTACCTCAGCCAGCCTACTATGCAAGTTCCGATGCCCCTAATTACTGGTGTACCAAGGAGTGCCCTTATTCCTTGGCAATGAACTCTCTCACATTCAATATGTGCATCCCCTCTCCTTCAAGCTGTGGCACCTTAACAAAATGAGCCACAGAGCTTGATGATGACATCCATGGAAGTTCAAAGAGCTAGTTACACTGCTGGAACACAGAATAGTCCTGGCTCTCCAACTTTTGCAGTCCACAGGAGTTGCAGCAGTGCTGTTGACAGAACAGAGAACAGTGCGTGACTGCAGTCCTTACTTAGAGAGCCATATGCTTTTCTGGGGCTTGTTTGTGTGCTAAATAGAGAAAGAGGATACTGGACAGCGCACTAACTAGGAATATCACATCAAACCAACGATGATAAAAATTGAACTGGAGCTCTCCCAGGACTTCTGTAATAATAGTGCGATACTCTAGAGGCATACTCATCCGGATCAGGAGCACTGATGACACAAAGTACATACCCTGTAAATTAAAGCAGAGAAAGTAGTTAATGTTTCACAATTGGCTATGTGGCTAACATGAGTCAGCATACAAATATTTTATTATGTGTATATGTACACACACACAAATATGTATGCATACATAAATATATATAGGCGTGCCTAAGGTTCTACATACTCACCATTATCTGTGCTAAAAGTAGAACAATAACATTGGAGGACTTGCTGCTGGAAATAGCATAGAAAAACTAGGAGAAAAAAAAAAAAAGCACTGGAAATAAGCAGTCAGGTAAGTCTGATGTGCCTTAGGACAGCATGAAAGATATGTACCATTCAATACTTTTTCATTTAAAAAGAACAATAAAAAGCATACTTTCTGAAGGGGTGCCTGTACTCTACTTTCAGAAACGTGCAGTCTTAGTCTTAAACATGAATCTCCCTAAGCCAGTGGCACCATGTGGCAGAAGTCATAACAATATACATTGAAGTTTAAGCTTAGGTACCAAAAGCCAGGTCAAGACAATGAGTCACATGTCTCTTGAGTTAATGCCTTTCCAGTCCTACCAGCAGCAACTGAAATTCTTCTAATCACTACCTCATCAACCTTACCAATAACCCCTGGCTACCGCATCATTTTGAACCCTTGCTTATGTTTAATATCTCATTTAACATCTGCATCTCTTCCCAACAGAAACAATAGAGACTGAGCGGGGAGATATACTGCAGAACGTATTCTTCCTCCACTCCTCCCTCTGCAAGTATTTATGTTCAGATATTTAAAACAGAAACGTGTATTTAAAGTTTTGATGGGACAAATGCTGTATAAAGTTAAAGATCTGATAACAGCTTTCCTGGTCCAAAACCACATAAGAGTCCTGGCTCTTACCTTTGTAAGTGTGATTAACAATCCCCTGATGGAGGTAACAATGATTATTCCAACAAGAATAAAGGAAATGTGCTGAGACCAGAATTTCACCTGTATCAACAAGACAAATACCGTTAAATCCCTAATGCTAACCCCATTTACACCACATTGTATAGCTGCCAATTCTTCAGGGTCTTTCTATTTCCTAATTGTACAGATATCCATTGTAGACAGGTTTATACAACAGACATTTTCACAAATATATTAGCAAGTGTTTACTCCAAACACATGAGAAAAACAGATTTTGCTTCCACCAATCACAAAGAACCCTGTATTCACAGGGATATATTTTAAAAGTGTAAATGACAGAACACCTATGTGCAAGAACAAACATAATTACTCTGTAGTTATATGTGTCAATCTAAGCAAGTTGACTAACATGTTTCCATTTGCCCCAAACAAACAAACAAATCACTGCCTCTCTGGCAAGATCACATTACCACCCCAGCATAAGATCAGTGTGAAAGCAAAATTCATGGTGCACTTTCCCTTCCTCCTCAATAAGTCAGAAGTGAAGACACATTCTCAAGGCTCTATCACTCTCTCCCTATCAGCAGTATGATATTTTATTTAGGTAAAATAGGCATTGCTGAAAAGGTTGTAAGAATCAATAAAGTCTCACATCAAACTGGATTCCCAGATAGTTTACAGTGATCTCAATTCCTCTTGTGACTGGATCAGTCTTGCCCACACGGTCAAATACAATATTGATGGTTGCCTGCACAAAAAAGACAGATTTACATTCAAACAAGAAAACAAAAGCATACCCCACAGTTACACGAGACACATGCATGACTCTTATTTGTATCACAAGGGAAATGGGCAGGGGGCAGTCAGGTTGTCTAAGAAGGTGCAAAATGCACACAGGTAAGAACTGTTTGTCTAATGCTCTATACAAAAAGACAGATCCAGAGCTTTATTTCAACCAAGGGCCAGCTTCTTTCAGAATTTCCAGAAGCAGGATCTTAAGGAAACTGGAGCATTACTTGATGAACTGCATGTATAGCATAATCTATGCAGGGTATGACATTTGCATATGTCCACATAAAATGCATTAAAACATTTACATACCATGAAGATTTTCCAGACACAATAGATAGAGAAAAAATAACCCAAAAAATTAAAGTATTTTCCCTGGAAAGTTTTGGAGTACTCTATTCTCTCCTGAAAATACAAAAGGAGGCAGGGGGGAACAGAACAGAAAAAAAAAATATATCATTTTCACAATCACCCACAAGACAAAATTTTAATTGATCACCAATAGCAGCATTCACAGTTTTATCCTTCTACGCCTCTTCATTCAAACGTTTCTGAACTCAAAAGTTTCAATTCAAAAGCTTGTGAATGGCTTTAGAAACATGGGGCATACTCCAGTACATATGTGAACTGGAAGGAAACTGCCATCTAGACACCAAATTAAAGAAACAGATCCTCACTCCACCGCATCACAACATTTCAACATTTGCATACTGAACAGCTTTCAATTTTTTGTAACACACATTCTCTTTCTAACTACTCTAGTCTCCCAACACCCATCTGGGCAGTTACTTCGCTATGTACCTTCGTTGCATGCAAGTCAGCAGTTTCCAGAAAAAGTTGCCGACTCAGCTCTTCCAGGGCATCCACTTCTTGCTGGATAAGGGACAGATCTGGCAAACCAGCATAGTCAAGGCCAGAATATGTCACAAATTCTTAATTAAAAACAAAACATTCCCCACTTTCAGCCCAAGGGCCACATCTAATGGTTTGACCACTTTTATGATCCAGATCAGTTTTCTGATTCAGTCTTAATACCCCTTGTTAATACTGCACCCAAAGAAATCTCAAGGATACATATATCGCACACTACTCCATTTTAAGAAGGTAGGCCGTACACAGTATTTAGGCAGTCATGCAAAAACCTCTTTATTCCTCTGCCTGAGGAACACATCACAGAACAGAACCACAGCTCTCGAAGACTGCTGCTGCACTTCGATCAGTGTCCCTTGTCACTGAAGTGCATTTCATAATATGTCACTCTCACATCATCTTCATAAAGAAAACTGCTGAGTAACTGCTCCGAGAGGTTAGTGATTATTATGAAGAGTCGTCAAATAGCCAAATTCTGATT